CATCCGCCCATTTCCACCACTGTACCCTTAAACACTTGGATTTGGGCTTGTGCAAGTTACATGAAGAATGTGCACTAATGGAGGCCGAATCCACCCATTATTCCTTTTACAACCAAAAAAAAAAACAAACTCACCATGTAATATACAACTTGCACCACAGTACCCACCGTATTGCGCACGATGGCAGCTGCCTTTTCCCAGAAGGATTTAGATAACGAATCAAACTTATCCGGTAATCTCTAATCGCTCTCTGAAACCCCTTCTCATATTGCTCACCCCTAGGGTTAAATTCTTTCCACTTTGCCAATTTGTCATCGTACTTTGGTTTGACCTTATCCCAGCAGGTACGATCACCTGTTTTTTCCCAACTATCTAGTGCTGCAACAGCCGCATTCCAGGCCTCGCGAAAGGTTTCACCATTGGTTTTTCTGCTGATACGACCATAAAAATCATCTTTTGCCTTCTCAAGCTCATTTGCAGCTGAACCCCAACCTCCTGCCTTGATTTGCTAGTACCTCAGCGAAACCCTGAGTAGCAACTTGTTCCACGTTATCCAATAAGGACAGTAGTCCCACTGCAAACTCCTTAGTGCGGGTTAGGTCCACGCAGTACCTTGCAATTTGCGATGCATTGGAATCAACACCGTAATGGTAGAATATCAAATTTAAGCGGCCTACGTGCATCTCATATTCAGCAGCAAATTCTTGTTCACACCTTTCAACAAACTCAATCTCTGCATTCCAAGATTCTTCCCAAGCAAGATGATATTCCTTGGTACCATTCAGTTTTTGTTTCGCTAACTTCTCTTTTTCATCCCTTTGCCACCTGGCAGCTTCTGTGGCCTGCTTGGCAGCCTCCCAGCGCTTGACGGCGTCATCATATTGTGTCTGCAGTTCGGATTCCGCAACTGCGGCTAATCTTTGCGTTTGTTTCTCAAGTACTGCAGCATATTGTTCACCCTTAGGCTTAAATTCTTTCCACTTTGCCAATTCGGCATCATACTTTGGTTTGGCCTCATCCCAGTAGGTACGATCACCTGTTTTTTCCCAACTATCCAGTGCTGCAACAGCCGCATTCCAGGCTTCGCGAAAGGTTTCACCATTGGTTTTTTTGCTGATACGACCATAAAAATCATCTTTTGCCTTCTCAAGCTCATTTGCAGCTGAACCCCAACCCGCTGCCTTGATTTGCCAGTACCTCAGCGAAACCTTGGATAGCAACTTGTTCCACTTTATCCAATAAGGACAGTAGTCCCACCAAACAAACTCCTTTGCTTGGGTTAGTTCTACGAGGTATCGTGCAATCTGGGCTGCGTTGGAATCAACATCGTGATAGTAGAATATTAAATTTAAGTGGCTTACGTGCATCTCATATTCAGCAGCACATTCTTGTTCACACCTTTCAACAAACGTAATCTCTGTATTATAAGAATCTGCCAAAGCAAGATTTTCTTCCATGGTGCCAATTGGTTTTTGTGCTGCTATCTTCTTTTTCCCATCCCTTTCCCGCTTGGCAGCTTCTGTGGCCTGCTTGGCGGCCTCCCAGCGCTTGACAGCGTCATAATATTTGACCTGTAATTGGGATTCCGCAACCGTGGATAATCTTCGCATTTGTTTCTCAAGCACTGAGGCATATTGCTCACCCTTGGGAATAAATTCATTCCATTTTTCCCATTCGGCATGGTACCTAAGTTTGGCCCTATTCCAAGCAGTACGATCACCTGTTTTTTCCCACTTATCCAGTGCTACAACGGCCGCATTCCAGGCTTCGCGAAAGGCTTTACCATTGGATTCATTGTTGATACGATCACAAAATTTATCTTTTGCCTTCTCAAGCTCATCTGCAGCTGAACTACAACCTGTTGCCTTGTGGATCGAGTACCAGAGCGAAACCTTGGATAGCAACTTGTTCCACTTTATCCAATAAGGACAGTAGTCCCACCAAACAAACTCCTTTGCTTGGGTTAGTTCTGCGCAGCACCTTTCAATCTCCGCTGTTGTAGAATGAGCTCCCTGTTGGATGGATACTGAAGTTGCGTAGCTAGTGTTTTTCGCATACTCAGCCGCAAATTCTTGTTCACACCTTTCAACAAACTCTATCTCTGCATTCCAATATTCTGCCCAAGCAAGAAAATATTCCCTGGTACCATTCAGTTTTTGTTTCGCTAACTTCTTTTTCTCATCCTTTTCCCACCTGGCACCTTCTGTGGCCTCCTTGGCGATCTCCAAGCGCTTGACGGCGTCATCATATTTGAGCTCTACTTGGGCTTCCGCAACCGTGGCTAATCTTTGCATTTGTTTCTCAAGTACTGCAGCATATTGTTCACCCTTTTGCTTAAAATCACTCCATTTTTCCCATTCGGCTTCGTAAATTGGTTTGGCCCTATCCCAATAGATGCGATCTTCTTCTTCTTCCCATTCCTCCAGTGCCGCAACTGCTGCATCATGAGATAGGTAAAGGACTTCGCAGTTGCTTGTCTTTATACGCTCAAGAAATACATCTTTTGCCCTATCAAGCTCATCAGCTTCTTTTTGAAATTCTGCTGCCCTAAGCTTCCAGCACAGCGCCCTAGCTTCAGCTACCAACCTATCCCACTTTATCCAATATGGTGAGGAACGATACCAAGTAAACTCCTTTGTATAGGCTAGATCTGCGCGGTACATTGCGATCTGCGCTCCTTTAGAACCAACTCCGTACCGTTGGATCATTAAATGTGCGGCGGCTTCACATTTTATACAACAAGCGCAGCACTCTTGTTCACACTTTTCATCAAAAGTAATATGAGCTTCCCAATATTCTGCCCAAGCAATATGCGATTCCTTGGTTCCACTCGGTATTTGTTTCGCTATCTTCTCTTTTTTATCTCTTTCCACCTTGGCAGTTTTCGTGGCCTGCTTGGCAGCCTCCCAGCTCTTGACAGCCTCATCATATTGTGTCTGTAATTCGGATTCCGCAACCGTGGATAATCTTCGCATTTGATTCTCAAAAACTGCGGCATATTGTTCACCCTTAGGTATAAATTCATTCCATTTTTCCCATTCGGCTTCGTAAATTGGTTTGGCTTCATCCCAATCGGCACGATCACCTGTTTTTTCCCACTTATCCAGTGCTGCACCGACCGCATTCCAGGCTTCGTAAAAGGCTTTACCATTGGACTCATTGCTTATACGATCACGAAATTCATCTTTTGCCTTCTCAAGCTCATCTGCTTCTGCATCAGAGGCCTCTGCCTTGAGGTTCCAGTACCACAGTAAAGCTTTGAACATTAACTGATGCCATTTCGTCCAATATTGAGAGGACCAACTCAATGTATACTCTTTCGTACGGGTTAGCTCTACGCGATATATTGCAATCTGAGCCGCGTTGGAATCAACACCATATTGCTTCAGCATTAAATTAGCGTAGCTGGTATGTTTCTCATACTCAGCAGCGCATTCTTGTTCAAACATATCAACAAAAGCAATATCAGTCTTGCAATATTCTGCCCAAGCAAGATAAGATTCCTTGGTGCCATTCGGTTCTCGTGCTGCTATCTTCTTCTTCTCATCCTTTTCCAAGCAGGCATCTAGCATGGCCTTCTTGGCGACCTCCCAACGCTTGACGGCGGCATCATATTTGGCCTGTAATTCGGATTGCGGGATCGTGGATAAATTTGATAATGTTGTAACACACGTCACCATAGACATTTTTGTTATTAATACCACCGAGGATTACTGGAGTCTGTGTTCTCAGACAGAGAGAGAGAGAAAAAGAAAAAACAAAAAGTCACCAGTAAACCGCTATTACTACATACATACATATATATATATAAGGAGTCAAGCAATAATGCAAAGGAACTATACCCATTAGGAAAATACACATTATTCAAACAACATGAAGTCCCGCCCAATCCCAAGAAAAAGTGAAAAAAATTATATACGCATTGAATACCTTTTGGTAACATTGCAGAGATAGCCACACACACACACAAAAAAAAAAACAATAATAACGAATAATGTATAAATCTCTATGTGTTGGTTTCTACCTGTCCCCATTACAATATGCAGTGTCCCCATAGGAACAAGCAAATGTCATGTTACCCCATTCACACGTAATGTAAAAGCAAATAAAAAAAGAAAAGAGATATTATTTACCAGAAATACACAACTGCAGAGTGAGACACATCACAAGGTGCACAGCAATACTCTGCTTACAATTATAAAAAAGAAAAGAGACTAGGTATTTCCACACAAATTGATGCACTCTAGTCCAATGAGTGTCATCGGGATTAATTTTCTCGATGCTCAGTGTACAAAACACAGTAGCCATCATTATGATAATAAGCAGTAAACAAGTGATTACCAACACTCTCTGGAGGGACCCCACCACAGTGCTCAGCACACGGTCATGCAGCCCAGCACAGAGAGCAGCAGCAACAGGAGTGGAACACGCAGTAACGCAGGGCTGCTGCTGCCGTCCAGTTGATGGACTGCCTTTGCGAGTGCATCACTCTTGAGAAGAGCATTGGCAGCCATTTCACGAAGATTAGGAGTATCAGAAGAATAAGGGTAAGAAAAATACTGAGTTTGTCGCAATATCCTGCCACTGTGAGTCTGGTTCTCTGATAGGTTTCCTTGTTGTGTTTGTGCCTGTGGTGTGTGCAAATCGTCAGTCATCTCTTTTGCCTCACTTCTTTCATGTGATCGTTGGTCCGTACTGTTACGCACCTCTTCTTTTTTCTGCTGTGCATGATAATGCTCAGAGGTGTTACTTTCTTCCGCATCGATATGGTGTCTCTCCTCCAAGTGGGTTCCATTCACTTCCACTGTGTTGAGTAAACCACTGGTTTCGTGTGCACCCATAGTAACACTGCCTTCATTTGTTGGCAGTGGTTCCTGCATTTGTGAATGTGTCTGCGGCTTCACATTATTTTCCATGGTCTGTATAATTTGTTGTTTATTTATGTTTTTGGGAGCAGCAGCAGCAGCAACTGCGGTGTCTAGTTTCTTCAGGGCATCCTTCACATTTTTGATGGCAGCATCCGCCTTCCTCGCATGACCTTTAGTTTTACGAACTACTTGGCGTGCATCTTGAGCTTCCTTGCCGACGTTTTTAGCAGCTGTTTTCATATCAGCAAATGGAGCCTTCACATTTTTCCCCTTCAATGATCCGTGATGGTGTTTAGCTTGTCCAAGAGCATACATGGCGTTGTGATGAGTTTCAGTTGCACTCTTTTCAGTTCTTTGAGCAACTTCTCTCGCCTTGGCTGCGGCTCTCCTTGCTTTCTTGATAAGTGCATCACCTTCCAACTTCTTCTTCTCTACCTCTTTTGGGTCAACAGCAATTTTATCGACAGAAGATTCAATGCGCTGGGCGAAGACTGTAGCATTATGGGCAGCCTCTTCAGCTTCCTTGCCGGCCCTATCGCACTCCTCTTTCAGTTTAGAAGTTTTTTCCCCTCTGTCTCGTGCTTCTTCCAGAATTATACTGGTGCGTTTTACATCATCAGCATGAGTCACACCCACACAGCAGAGCACAATGGCCAATAGACACAACACACGGTACGGCAACATGGACATTCTTGTCATTAATATCACTGAGGATCACTGGAGTCTGTCTGTATGTGTATAAAGAGAGAGAGAGAGAGAGAGAGAGAGAGAAAAGAGAAAATAAAAGCACCAGTATACCGCTATTACCACACACACACACATACACATATGGAGTCAAGCAATAATGCAAAGAAATTAGACACACTAGGGGAAACACACATTATTCCAACAAAATGAAGTTCCATCCAATCCCAAAGAAAAAGTGAAAAGATTATAAACAAATTGAATATCGTTTGGTAACATTGCAGAGATAGCCACACACACAAAAATAATAATAACGGATAATGTATAAATCAATCTTTGTGTTGGTTTCTCCCTGTCCCCATAAAGAACAAGCAAATTACATGCTACCCCATTTACACGTAATGTAAAAGCAAATAAAAAAGAAAAGAGATATCATTTACCAGAACCACACAGTTGCAGAGTGAGACACACCACAAGGTGCACAGCAATACTCTGCTTACAAGTATAAAAATGAAAGGAGATTAGGTATTTCCACACAAATTGATGCACCCTAGCCCAGTGGGTGTCATTGGGGTTAAGTTTCTCGGTGCTTAGTGTACCGAACATAGTAGCAATTATACTATTATTATTATTATTATTATTATTATTATTATTATTATTATTATTATTAACAGGAAACAAGTGATTACCAACACTCTCTGGATGGACCCCACCACAGTGCTCAGCACACGGTCATGCAGCCCAGCACAGAGAGCAGCAGCAGCAGCAGGAGTGGAACACGCAGTAACGCAGGGCTGCTGCTGCCGTCCAGTTGATAGACTGCCTTCGCGAGTGCATCACTCTTGAGAAGAGCACTGGCAGACGTTTCACTAACATTAGCGTCACGAGGAGAGGGAGAAAACTGTTTTGTTGATGTGTTTGCCTTATCAGACTTCTGCCCGTTTACTGCCTTTGTCCTTTCTCCCTGTGCACTCGGCTGTTCTTCCAATTGTTTTTGTTCTTCAGCTTTCGCTTCCTTTTCCTTCCTTTTCGTCTCAATTTTCTTCTGTTCCTCCTCCCTCTGCCTTTGTTCCGCCTCCTTCTGTCTTTGCTCCTCCTCCCTCTGCCTTTGTTCCGCCTCCTTCTGCCTTTGTTCCTCCTCCCTCTGCCTTTGTTCCTCCTCCCTCTGCCTTTGTTCCGCCTCAATTCTCTTCTGTTCCGCCTCCCTTTGCCTTTGTGCCTCCTTTTCCTTTTCCAATGCAATTTGTCTTTCCCTCTCTCTTTTCTCTTCCTCCCTCTTCTCATTCGCAGTAGTAATTGCTTTCTCGAGTTCTTGAATGACAGCCCTAACTTTTTCAGCACTGCCCTCCGCAAGATTAGCTTGATGTTCTGCTTCAAGGGTCGTTCTTCGTGCCGTATCTGCGTCGTCGATGGCGTCCAAAGCGACTTTTGTCATATTTTGCATTTTACCGAGTACCTTTTCTACACTTGTTGTGAGTCGCAATAATTTAAGCTTTAAACTTGGATCTGTTGTATTTCCCTCATATTTTTGCTTTTCTTCGTCATACTTCTTGTAAAACAATAATGATGCGTTCAAAGCCATTACACCTTTAACTGCAGTATCAATTGCCTTTATTTTAGTTGATACAGCCTTTTCACGTGCAGTTTTTGCAGCCTCCACTGCTTGATTGATGAGGGCTTCGGATTTCTCCTTCTCCTCCACCTTCTCCTCATCCTTGAGAATGTAAGATAGGTTATTATTGACTTTCGTGATAAGCTCACTAATGCGCGCAACAAACTCTGTTGGTTTCTTGGAAGCTTCTCCAGCAGCTTCAGCAGCATCCATACATCCATTTCTCTCCTTCAAGCTCTCCAACGCCAATGCATGTGCTTCCTTAACCATTTGAACGGTTTGATTTGCTGAATTAACCATGGACTCAATATCCTCTTCTTTTTCATCCCCCTCTTCTTCAACAATAAACAGTTCTTTTTCAGGATCATCAGCTCTTCTTCTTTTAGTACGGGCTTCACCCAGACAGCAGAACACAATGGCCAACAGACACAACACACGGAAGTGAACCATGGACATTCTTGTCACTAAAACCAAGGAGGACCACCAAAATACGTTTCTCTGTGGATAGAGAGAAAAAGAGAAAGAGAAACAGAATATAGAAATACACCAGTACTCCGTCACAACCACACATCGCACGAACAAAAAAAGAAAATTCAGAATAAATACGTGGTAGGAAATAAGAATAGAAATTGCCCCAGAAAAAAAATTCTTCACGTTCAACCCAAATAAAACAAGAGATTCATGCATTCAACACTTGTACTAAAGGTACACAAACACAGAAAAAAAAAAACAATAACGTGCAATACAAACGTATCGCTGTGTTGGTTTCTACCTGTACCCATTATAATTTGCAGTGTCCCCATAGGAACAAGCAAATAACATGTTACCTCATTCACACGTAATGTAAAAGCAAATAAAAAAGAAAAGAGATATCATTTACCAGAACCACACAATTACAGAGTGAGACACACCACAAGGTGCATAGCAATGCTCTGCTTGCAAGTATAAAAAAGAAAAGAGATTAGGTATTTCCACACAAATTGATGCACCCTAGCCCAATAGGTGTCATCGGGATTAAGTTTCTCGGTGCTTAGTGTACTGAACACAGTAGCAGTTATATTATTATTAACAGTAAACAAGTGATTACCAACACTCTTTGGAGGGACCCCACCACAGTGCTCAGCACACGGTCATGCAGCCCAGCACAGAGAGCAGCAGCAGCAACAGGAGTGGAACACGCAGTAACGCAGGGCTGCTGCTGCCGTCCAGTTGTTGGACTGCCTTGGCGAGTGCATCACTCTTGAGAAGAGCATTGGCAGCCATTTCACGAATATTAGGAGCATCAGAAGAAGAACGAGGGTAAGAAAGAGACTGAGTTTGTTGCAATACCCTGCCACTGTGAGTCTGGTTCTCTGATAGGTCTCCTTGTTGCGTTGGTGTCGGTGGTGTGTGTAAAACTTCAGTCATCTCTCTTGCCTCACTTCTTCCATGTGGTCGTTGATCCGTACTGTTATGCTCCTCTTCCTTTTTCTCCTGTGCTTGATGATGCTCGGAGGTGTTCTCTCCTTCCATCGTATCCGTCCTTTTCTCATATGCATCAGCAGCATGAGGAGGTACAGTTTGTAGTTCTTTTAGTTCCTCCATCTTAACGGAGGTATGAGTTTTCTCAGCTCCCTCTTCCTGTGTTTGCTTTCTTTGATGTGGGAAGGGTTTGTTTTCTTTCTTTGTCGTAATATGTCCACTCTTCATTTGTCCAACTGTCTGTCGTGAACCTCCCTCCTCGTCATGATGATGCACTGAGGTCTTCCTTTCTTCCGTATCGATATAGTTTTTCTCCACCATATGTTTTCCATTCACATCCCCTGTGTTGATTAAACCCCTGGTATCGTGTGCACCTACAGTAACACTGCCTGCATTTCTTTGCGGTGGCGTCTTCGTAATCGTTGGCTCCTGCATTTGTTCTTGTGATTGCAACGTTTTATTTCCTTCTGTATGGCCTTGCTGGTCAGCAAAAAATGTATCCATTGTCTGTTCCTTTGGCTGAGACTCCACCTGTTTCGTCAGTTCGTCCTTCTTCTTCTCCTTGGCAGGAGAAACGGCGGCCTCAAGTTTCTTAATGACATCCCTCACACGCTTAGCAGCCTCTTTCGCATCGTCGGCATGACTTTCAGCATCATCTGCCGCTTTCTTTGCATCTTTAACCGCTTGGATGGCTTCATTAAAAGTTCTTATCATAATACGAAATTTGTCCTTCTGAAGTTCGTAATGGAGTCTTTCTTTTTCAAAAGCCGAGATATCCCTGGTGTCAGTTGCACGGACTGTATTTGTGGCCTCTTTTTTTGCCTTCTCTGCTGATTCCTCTGCTTTTTTGATGAGTTCACGACCTTCAGTCTTCTTCTGCTCCACTTCCGTCGAGTTTGCAGTGAGAGTTTTGAGATTATTCTCAATTTCAGTAGCAAAATTGTTGGCATTTTGGGCGGCCTCTTGAGCGTCCTTGCTGGCTTTCTCGCAGTTAAGTTTCCGTTTAGGAGTTTCATGCACAACCAATTGTGCTTTCATATACATGTAAGAGGTGTGTTGAACATAGTTCGCATGAGTCACACCCACACAGCAGAACACAATGGCCAACAGACAGAACACACGGCACGACAACATGGACATTCTTGTCATTAATATCACTGAGAATCACTGGAGTCTGTGTGTGTGAAGAGATATAGATAGATAGATAGAGAGACATATATATATATATATATATATATAGAGAGAGAGAGAGAGAGAGAGAGAGAAAAGTACCACCACACCGCTATTACTCCACACACGCACACACACACATATGGAGTCAAGCAATAATGTAAAGGAAGTAGACACATTAGGGAAAATACCCATTATTCAAACAAAATGAAGCCCCATCCCATCCCAAATAAAAATGAAAAGATTATATACGCATTGAATATCATTTGGTAACATTGCAGAGATAGCCACCCCAAAAAAACAGAATAATAATAACAGATAATGTATAAATCTCTCTGTGTTAGCTTCTCCCTGTCCCAATTACAATTTGCGATGTCCCCATAGGAACAGGCAAATTATATGTTACCCCGCTCAGAGATAATGTGAAAGCAAATAAAAAAGAAAAGAGATATCATTTACCAAAAATACACAATTGCAGAGTGAGACACCACAAGGAGCACAGCAATACTCTGCTTACAAATATAAAAATGAAAAGAGATTAAATATTTCCACACAAATTGATGCACCCTAGCCCAGTGGGTGTCATTGGGGTTAAATTTCTCGGTGCTTAGTGTACTGAACACAGTAGCAATTACTATTATTATTAGCAGTAAACAAGTGATTACCAACACTCTCTGGAGGGACCCCACCACAGTGCTCAGCACACGGTCATGCAGCCCAGCACAGAGAGAAGCAGCAGCAGGAGTGGAACACGCAGTAACGCAGGGCTGCTGCTGCCGTCATTTAATGCCATACCACTGTTATTCGCTGCACCATTGAGTA